CCCGCCAGGGAAGCCCGCTAGCCGGGACCCGGCCCAGCGGGAGTGCCGCCCACAGACAGCCGTCTTCCTCCACCTTCGGTCGGCATGTGGGGATGCGGGAGCCTGGGGGAGGCCCCTCTGTCCCCCAGCCTCTGCCGCCTACTGTGCCCCAGGACCATGCCTTCCGCCTGCTGAAGCCGGGGGGCGTCCTGACCTACTGCAACCTCACGTCCTGGGGCGAGCTGCTGAGGTCCAAGTACTCGGACATCACCACCATGTTTGAGGTGCGGCTGGCACTGATGCCAAGGCCTGGTCTTGGGGGGCTGGGGCCCTGGGGCAGCTCTGTGAGCCGGGACTCCGGGACTCGGCCATTACCTGGTCTCAGGGTCAGTCTCTCAGACAGACTCAACCTTTCTAGATCTCCACTTAGAAAGCAGGTGAGGTCGGCCGGGCACGGTGGCTCAAGCCTGTCCTCCCAGCACTTTGGGAGGCCAAGGTGAGAGGACGGACTGAGCCCAGGGCTTCGAGACCAGCCCGGGCAACTTGGTGAGACCTCATCTCTACGATAAATCAAGAAAATTAGCTGGGTGTGGTGGCGCACGCCTGTAGTTCCAGCTACTTGGAAGGCTGAGGCGGAGGGATCACTCGAGCCCAGCGGGTCGAGGCTGCAGTGGCTGTGGGCATGCCGCTGCACTCCAGCCTGGGTGACAGAGTGAGACTCCAATGCAAAAAATTCCCGGTGCCTGGATACGGCCCAGGCCCCTCCCCCGGGCCTCCCCACTTGGGACGTCTCTCTTGGCTGAGCCCTCTGCCTGGCCAGGAGGCGGGGAACTGGTCATCTAAGCATGGACTCCACGCAGAGGCCTGGCTGCTCCCGCTGTGCATGAGCGGCAGCCGGCGGGCCCTTCTCTGTCCTAATCTCCGGGGCTGCCAGAGGTGCTGGCCAGGACGGGGGGACCCGGGGGTGGGCCTGGTCCTGCAGGCCCGCAGAGAGCCCCCTAACGCCTGGCCCCACGCCCCCAGGAGACGCAGGTGCCCGCGTTGCTGGAGGCCGGCTTCCGCCGGGAGAACATCCGCGTGGAGGTCATGGCCCTGGTGCCCCCGGCCGACTGCCGCTACTACGCCTTCCCGCAGATGGTCACGCCCGTGGTCACCAAGCACTGAGCCACCCTGACCCGACGGCTGCCCCGGGTCCTGGGGCGGAATAAATGCTGAGCGGTTGGCGCAGCTGTGGCCTCCTCTCCAGACGACCGTCCAGCAGACTCTGGGTGGCCTGCGGGAAGGCCTCACCCCCCAGGCCCCTGAGCCCCTGCGACCCGGCGTTCTGCCTGTGCAGATGTCACGAGTCCACCCCAACGGCCCGCCTCCCGGACATGACCGTGGATGGAGCTGGGAGAGGAACACACTTGGCCCCTCGCAGTGGGGTCGGGTGGGGAGCCAGGGGAGGTTGGTGGGGTGGCAGCACCAGGCCGGGCGTGGACGAGAGGCCCACCAAGACCCCCAGGGCGGCCCCCGGCAGGAATCCCCCACCCCAGCGCGTGGGGCGTCGCTGCTGGGAGCCCCCCAGGTGCGAGTCTCCTGTTCTCCGCTGTCTCTTCAAGTCCCGACACACGGCCGCCCGGTGCAGCCCCACCTGCCGTGCGGGGCCTCAGCCACGGCAGGCAGCCTGTGGGCAGGGCCTTGGGCTCGCTCCAGCCCTGGTGCCCGGCTGGTCACCGTGGCGCCGTCTACCTCCTCCCCGATGTCCGTGTGCATCCAGCCCTCATTGCAGCTGCCCTTTGTGGGGGCCGACCCACCCGTCCACCCACTGACTCCCCCTGCCCCGACCACAAGGGCCAGGTCCTGGCTTGGCGTTCAGTACCTGGGACCTGCCCAGCCACCTCCAGGCCCCCCGTTCCCTGCCGGGATGCTGCTCCCCTTCAGCAAGCTGCTATCCTCGGGCTGGGCTGGGTGTCCACCTGCCCCTGACCCCTAACCCACAGTCTCTAGGTGCCCCCAAGCCCAGCTGGACCCCTGAAGGGCCTTCAGCACCCACAGGCCTGGCCCCGAACACAGAATGCCCACACGTTTGTTGAATGAATACATGTTCTCGAAGAGGCCACAGACTCCAGCGGGTTCAGGGCTTGCCTCAGGGTATCAGGCTGCGGGAGGTGGAGCCAGGGCCAGCGGCCCCCAAAGGGGCTCACCTGGGCCAGGTGAGGGTCCCGTCCTAGGCAGCAGGCAAGACACGTGGCTCCCCAACCCACCACAAAGTCGCCCTGTCCCCACGGTGTGGACATAGGCTGGGGGGCACCTGACCATGCCATGCACAGGCCAGAGGCCACCCCAGCCCAGGGCAGCGGGCAGCAGGCAGGGCCAGGCAGGTTTATTGACTCTGGGGGGGGACGGACGCGGCCTCAGCTCCGGCTGGACTCGGCTACCGGCGGTACCAGACCTGCAGCCTCTGCTCCCGCTTGATCTTCCTCTGCAGCTGCAGGATGCCATACAGCAGGGCCTCGGCCGTGGGCGGGCAGCCTGCGGCAGGGCGGGCCTCAGTTTCCCGGAAGCGCCCCCGCCCCAAGGGTCCCCGGCCAGCCTGAGGGGGGCTGGCAGCACAGGGTGGGCAAGCCCTGCGGGAAGGGCAGGACCTTGCCCAGGGAGGCCCCCGCCCACTGGCCCCTCCTGGGTGGCCACAGAAGCCCTGCGCCGGGCGGCCACCTCGAGGCCCCGCGACCAGGGCCTCCGCGAAGGGGATGCTAGCGCTCGCCAGACAGGGACGGGCACACTGGGTGGGGGAAGGGGGTGGCCAAGCCAGGGTCCCGTGGGACCGGCTGGAAGGACGTGTGTCCAGGGCCTGGGCGGCAGCAGGACACACCCAGAGGGCATGGAGGCCAAGGCCAGGGCAGGGGAGGGTGGCTGGAGCCCGTGGTGCTCCGGCCGGTGTGGTATTTCCGGGGAGGGGACAGCGGGCCCTTCCCCTCCCACTTCCCCCCCTTTCTCCCCTCCTGACCCCCCAGGGCACCCCCTCAGTGCCAGCACTGTGACCGGCAGCCACGGAGGGCAGCAGGAGGCCCAGCCACTTCATCCCTTGCCCCACAGTGGCCTGGCTCTGGCCCCTGGGGACCCTTCGAAGACACGGGGGGCGGGGAGGGACGGAGCTGCTGGGCAGGCAGGACCCAGGCCCAGAGGCTGAGGAGGCAGCCTGGAGAGCCGCCCCCCGACAGCAGGACCCACCCGGGGCAGCCACAAGGATGGCAGGGCAAACAGTTTCCCTTGGGGTTCATTTCAAGGCAACCTGGGCTCGGCACTTGGCATCAGCACAACAGCGCCATTCCATGGGCAGGGAAACTGAGGCTGAGGGACTTGCCCAAGGTCACAGGTCAAACAAGCAGCAGCCGCCTGGGGGCCAGGCTCCCGACCCAGGTCAACACACTCCTCAAAGCCTCAGTGGACGGTGCCCTCCCTGCCCCAATAGGGCTGGGCCTGTGTCAGACTCCGCCTCCCCCAGCCTGGGGGCTCCCCCGGTGCCAGGCACGGGGCCGAGGCCTCTCTGGGGCCCAGTGCTGTGGCCAGAGGCTGGTGTGGGCCTAGAAGAGGCACTCGATAGACATCTGAGGAGCACAGAACAAGTCACCGCCACTTCCACTGGACTCAGGTCTGACGTCAGAACCGGTGTCCCGGCCCTTGCAGAGATGCCAGGACCAACTTGAACTTGGGACACTTGGAACCTGGACTTTGACCACCCCCCACCCCCGGACTTAGGCCCAGGCCCTCTGCACCCACGCGAGGACTGCAGCTCCGGACAGCCAAGGACGGGCCCCTCTGGCCCCATCCTCACATAGGCGCCACCTCCTGACCCGCTGACCACCGACCGCCATGAAGGTGAATGCCCAGAGTGCCCCTCTTGGGACCACTGAGGCCGGGTGTCCCATGGGATCACCAGGTACAGCACAATTCACATGTAGTTCAGTTATACGGCCAGTATGCTTTCTTAGCATAAGGATACCCCAGATGTCACTGGTACGTACTTATACTAAAAGTTACTACTATTTGCTGCCTTCTAACAGCCAAAGCTAAGCGTCCTGCATTTTACGTGCTCAGTCTGGCCACCCCTGGAGCTCCAGAAGCCCTTCGTGGGGCTAAGGATGAAGACTCAGCCTCTGGGACCTTTTCTTGTTTCTTTCTTTTTTTTTTGAGTTGGGGTCTCACTCTGTGGTCCAGGCTGGAGTGCAGTGGCACCATCACGGGTCACTGCAGCCTTGACCTCCTTGGCTCAGGCAATCCTCTCACCTCAGCCTCCCAGGTAGCTAGGACTACAAGTGTGCACCACTGCACCCAGCTGGTTTCCTGATTATTATTTTTTTTTTTTGAGTTGGAGTCTCCCTCTGTCGCCCAGACTGGAGTGCAGTGGCCGCTCCCGGCCACTGCAGCCTCGACCTGCTGGGCCCCGGCGATCCTTCCGCCTCAGCCTTCCAAGTAGCTGGAACTACAGGCGCGTGCTACCACGCCCAACTGAATTTTGATTTATTGTAGAGATGAGGCCTCACCAAGTTGCCCAGGCGGGTCTCGAACCCGTGGTCTCAGGCAATCCACTCACCTCAGCCTCCCAAAGGCACGGGATTACAGGCTGAGCCACCAAGTCCGGCTTCCTGATTTTTTTTTATAGAGATAGGATCTCACTATGTTGCCCAGGCTGGTCTCAAACTGCTGGACTCCAGTGATCCTCCTACCTCGGCCTCCCGCAGTGCTAGAATGACAGGCGTGGAGCCCCTGCACCCGGTCTCCATGTTTGACTTCTAACTGCATTTCTGCAGTTGTTTCTATTAGGTGGAACCTGATGAAACTGGCTGAAAACTGGGGAGCGGGGGAACCAGATGAAACTGGCTGAAAACGAGAGCGACTGCTGTTCCCCACGGCTCCAGCTGGCCCTGTGATGTCAGCGACCGGAGACAGGCCCGAGGTCGCCGTTCTCACGGGGCTCTGCTCTCTCACACGCAGCAGCCGGGCTCCTCACCTGGGACGTAGATGTCCACGGGCACGATGCGGTCACAGCCCCTCACGACCGAGTAGGAGTAGTGGTAGTAGCCGCCGCCGTTGGCACAGCTGCGGGAGAAGGCGCGTGAGGACCTGAGCCCACCGCCCGCTCTGGCCCTCCCCCGGCCCCGCCTGAGTCCCACAGACCCGGCCTGGCTGTCAGAGGGGCAAGAGCCCGATGGATGTCGCAGACCAGCAACCGGCAAGGAGGAGCTGGCTCCAGAACCTTCCGGAGGGCCGGGGGACAGGGCATGGGCGCACAGGGCTGGCAAGCACGCAGCAAAGCGCCCTCTCCTGAGAGGGGCTCCCTCGGCTGCTTCCGGGGCTGGGATGCAATCACAAACAGCCCTTCTGGACAGCCATGACGGCCGGAACGCCCGTGCCGGCCAGTGCCTGCACCCAGCTACCCTTGAAGGAGGCTGTGGGGCCACCCAGGGGACAAAGCCGCGTGGACACAGCCCACCATGCATGGCTTCTCACAGCCACAGAAACGAAAAGCCCAAATGCCCGCCAGTGTGAACTCTGGAGTTTTCTGCAGCTGCTGAGGGAGTGAGGACAAGAGGACACGTGCTCACGACTCAGCCACGAGCAGGAAAGAGGCCCCAGCCCAGGCCACGGTCCCACGTGGACATGACTTGGCCACGAGCAGGAGGGGCTCTGACGCAGCCACAGCCCCTCCTGTGCCACAGTCCCACAGGGTGGAGGGATCTTGAGGACATCGCGTCAGTGAGACCCAGACACAGGAGGACACACAGGCGTGACTCCATTTACGTGAAGTGTCCAGAACAGGCCAGTCCACGGAGACGGGACGTGGACTCGTGGGGGCTGGGAGGGGGTGACTAGTCGTGGGAACAGCGTCTCTTTTCGGTGATGGAATGTTCTGGAACCAGGCAGTGGTGATGGTTGCACAACTCTGTGACCCTAACTAGAGGACACTGAACCGTTCACTTTAAGAGGGTGAGCTTTACGATCAATGACTTATGTTTCCATAAAAGCTCGACGACTAAGTGCCTCTCCGCGTCGGCCACGAAGCACTATGAAACGGCGGCAAGTCAGACAGAGGGAGGGCCAGGGCAGTGCCTCTCGCCTACAGTCCCAGCACTTCGGGAGGCCAGGCGGGAGGACCGCTCGCGTCCAGGGGTTGGGGACCAGCCTGGGCGACACAGTGAGAGCCCGCCGGCACTTCTAAAGAATCAGCAGCTCCCAGCCGTGCTTTAAAGTAAAAATGGAAAAAAGACGGAGACCGCAAAGCTGCCCCCG